ATAATAATAATAATAATAATAATGTTGACTATAAAGACACGCAGAATCTTTGACAATACGAAAGAATGCACTGCAGGACAATGAAACATTAAAAAGTTATATCTATTTTTGTTTTTTAAATACTGAGTTTAAAGAAAAGATCTTGGCTTTCATGGAATTCAAAGCAATTTCCGTACAATACAGAAGGTACAAATATCCGATTCTCCCTTGGTAGAGCAAAGAAAAAAAACTTTGAGAAAATTAAGCCAAGAAGAAAAGTTAAAGAAACATACGGACAACAAGCAAAACGACTACAACATAAAAACCAAAAAGAAACCATGAGGAACGAATAAATACGTTTTAGAAAAGGAAAAGAAAACAAAATAAATACAAGGAGTAATTGTGGTCGAATAGTCCCCATCCCCGGCCATTTTTACGGTTCTAAGTCTAAGATGAATAATACGTCTATTGCTGAAATAGGCAGGCCTTAGTATTTGGCACAATATTATAAAATCAATTAAAAGAGAGAAAAATGTTTTTATACCCTTGTCAATTTCTTTTTGTAAAAAACAAAATAATAATAAAAAAGACAAAACACAAAAAAAACAACACAATCTAATTTTTCAAGTTATGATTTTTCTCACCTCTAGAAGTCAATGAATTTTCACTGCTATTTGCGTTGCCAGGGGCAAGGGTTTTGTATTTCATGCCGAAGTTGAAACAATCCGATATAAAATTGAGTGCTCATCCTGATTAAAAGAAATTTCTAAATTTCACCGCTTTTCCCTTCCCTTTCGCAAAAACACGAGATTTCCTGCTCCTCTCAGCCAATAGGGTACCAGAAATATCCCCTCCCTTCGAGTTACGCCGAGTTTGACAGCAAAGTATGGTAATCGGTTCATGTCACTTTTGACTTTTTTCCCGGGGTGCGCTGGGAAGGTAGGATAGGAGCAGGCGTCATGGTTTCATATTGTGGAAAAGTGGACCGTAGAATTAGCTTCGTGAAGTACACATTAATGTATTTATTTGTGGTTTCTGGTGTTTATGTATTGCTAGCTTTGTAGAGTAATTGAGAGAGTGAGATAGAGAGATCGAGAGAAAGTGAGAGAGAGTGTGTGTATGAGTGTGTGTGTGTGTGTGTG